TTCACTACCCTTTGAATGCTGGAGCTGTGTCTCCATGGCAACGCTGACCCCTGGGAGTCAATGTTATTTTTTTTTCACACGAGTCCCCTCTTTACCATCCCTCTCTCTCTCTCTCTCTCTCTCTCTCTCTCTTCCCTTCTCTCCCTCTGTCTCTCTCTGTCCTTCCCTCCCACTCTGTTTACCTCCTCGCCTCCTCTTTACTCCTCCTCCTCCTCTCTTCCTTTTCTCTCCATTATGAACCAAAGAAGAGAAAACCTCTGCTCATTATAGAGGTGGTGGAGGTGTTGCAGTTCTGTCTCTCACTCCCTCTCTCTCTCTCTCTCTCTCTCTCTCTCTCTCTCTGCGTCTTGTCTCCAGCTCTTCTCGTCCTTCTCAAGGACGTCTCTGAAAGCAGCTCCTCTCAGAGTCGTTTTTTCACGCTGACCTTGCCTTTAAATCTCGCTCTGAGTCGAGCGACGTGGGCGCAGATTTACCGCATTTTTCCCGACAAAAGAAACATATATATTTTTTTTAATCTCATGACCGTCCTTTATTCTCTCCTCGCTCTGCAGCCTCTGGATTCAGGAGCGCTCGTTGTCATGCGTGATAAATCGTTTGATCTCGGGTGTGACGATGACTCTCAGTGTACAGCGCAGCAAAGATGACGAACCACCTTCTCTGATGTCTTCAGGGTTTTTGGAGGAAGCTTCACTTTAGTCTGCTGTCTTACATCTTCCCTCCATGAATGTACAACTTTATCCAATAACCCCCGATTTCCAACACATCCTGATCGTCTCCTATTCCATTCAAGTTAACGTGTCGATTTCCACCGACTTCTTTCCGTTCCTCTGCCGATCAAAATCAAAATCTAACTCTCTTATGGAAAGGACATCTGGACAACAGCTGTCCTTTCAACGAAGAACTGTAAATCATAGATGCTGCATCCTCAGTTTTACACAACATCTCCAGGTTTCTTAAGTAGATTTCCTCCTCTGGAAGGACACAATCTACTGCATATATGTCTATGTGTCTGTCTTTATAGAGACAACTCGTTATTCTAACCATTGTGCGATTGTACGTGAATGCTCAGGTTCTTGTGAGTTTTTTCGATTACCGCTGTCCGTAATCCGCCATGAAATTCGCCTCGCCAACGGATCCCGTAGATGGCGAAAATCGCTGCCGTTTCGGATCAGAGTGGTGAAAATTGGGGGTCAGGTTTTCAGACGGCGCCCTGATCAAATCCGTTGGTTCCTCTGGATCCTGATTGGAGGATGTCGTGTCCGTATTAAACCACAGAACAGTCTCGGCCCGTTTTCAGGTCCGCAGAAGTCAGCAGAACTTCTTCCTCATGTTTAGTTTTGATGTTGATGCAGAAACAAACTGATAACAGGCGTTTGATGCGGCGCTGGCTGAGAGTTGAAACAGAGTCAGCTGATGCGGCTGCAGAGTCCCTGATTGGTCACTGATGACTTTTCTTCTTCTTCTTCTCTCCCAACAGGCGAAGCTGATCGTCCCCAACAGCACAGCCGGCCTGATCATAGGGAAAGGCGGAGCCACGGTAAAGGCGGTGATGGAGCAGTCCGGGGCGTGGGTACAGCTATCCCAGAAGCCCGAGGGCATCAACCTTCAGGAGCGGGTCGTCACCATCAGCGGCGAGCCCGAGCAGAACCGCAAAGCTGTGGAGATCATCGTCCAGAAGATCCAAGAAGACCCGCAGAGCTCCTCCTGCCTCAACATCTCCTACTCCAACATCACCGGACCCGTCGCCAACTCCAACCCCACCGGTTCTCCATACGCCAACTCCACCGAGGTCATGCCGGCCGCCGCGGCGGCTGCAGCGGCCACAGCTTCCTCTCTGCTGGGCCAGGCCAGCTTGGCAGGAGTGGGAGCGTTCCCGACCACCATGTCCAGCCTCTCGGGCAACGATCTGCTCGCCATCACCTCCGCCCTCAACACTCTGGCCAGCTACGGCTACAACACCAACTCCCTGGGCCTGGGCCTGAACCCCGCCGCAGCTTCAGGCGTGTTAGCCGCGGTCGCAGCGAATGCTAACCCAGCAGCGGCGGCCGCAGCAAATTTGTTAGCGTCCTACGCTAGCGATGCATCCACCAGCGCAGCTCACCCGGCGGCCGGCCTCGGGGGCTTCTCTCTGGGGTCTCTGGCCGCAGCTACAGGGGCGACCAACGGCTACCTGAGCGCCGCGTCGCCACTGGTGGCGTCATCTCTACTGGCGACAGAGAAGCTAGCGGAAGGATCAAAGGAAGTGGTGGAGATCGCCGTGCCGGAAAACCTGGTCGGAGCCATCTTGGGGAAGGGCGGGAAGACGCTAGTGGAGTACCAGGAGCTAACCGGCGCCAGGATCCAGATCTCCAAGAAAGGCGAGTTCATCCCCGGAACTCGGAACAGGAAGGTGACCATCACGGGCTCCCAGGCCGCCACGCAGGCCGCACAGTACCTGATCAGCCAGCGAATCACCTACGAGCAGGGGGTACGCGCCACCAACCCACAGAAGGTGGGCTAAACCTGACAGCCAATGAGAAACGAGGAGGAAAAGAGGAAAAAAAGAGTGGGGGCTTGGGGGAGGAGTATAAAAAAGTGAGAGAACGGAAAAAAAGGAGAGGAGAGGTCAGAAGGAATCGTCCGCGCCGTTTTCTTCTGCGTGTTTTCAGTATTCTCGATTTAAAAAAAAGTTTTTCGACGCGGAGCAAAAATGTGCAGAGAAGACGACGAGGAGGGAGAGGAGCGAATGATCACGCTGAAAAACCAAGAAAAAAATGTGTAACATGTAAATAAGGTTTTATTACTTACCGTCTTTTGGGATTTTTTATTGTTTTGTTTCCTGTTTCGTTTCGTAAATTAAGATGTCTGTTTGTTCGTTTGTGTATTGTGTGGACAAAGCTGAATGCCATGTAGACAGGCCGACCGCCTGAGAGGCTACAGGAAGTGGGGGGAGGGAGGGAGGGGCGCGGGGGAGGAGGGTTTACACTCACAGGGTACAACCCTCCTCCCCCTCCCCGAATCTCTTCTGAGGCGACCCCCTCACCCTTCCTCCCCCTGCAGCCCACACCCAGCACCCTCCAGCAGGGTTTTTTTTTTTCTCTAGATTTGATTGGTCCCTCAGCCCCCAGGCCCCGCCCCCTTTAAAAAGCCCCTCCCACTCCTTACCCCCCACCCCCTTTTCCCGGTTTATAAGGGTTTTATAAGACTGCAAACTTCAGCAAACAGGTGTGTGTGTGAGAGAAGAAACGACCTGGGCTCCCCCCGACACCCTCGGCCCCGCCCCCTCACTAAGGGGGGGTGAAAGTAGGAGGGGGTGTCAGGGGGACAGAATCAGGTGGGCGTTTCTTCATTCGCACACCCCTACCACCTCCACCCGTCCCCCCCCGTTGACCCTGTGATGTATCCCAGAAGCAGTGCAGCGCCGCAGGGGCGATACGCCACGCCACGTAGCGCCCTCCATACGCAGCTCTAGTGTTTGAGATAGACGGCCCCGGCGCACGCTCATGACCTCACGTAGTGCGAGACTTAAAAAAAAAAACAAAACAGAGAGATCCTGAGTGCGCTGCGGCGAACACACGCAGGATTTCCTGTTGCAGTCTGTCTGCTGTGAAAATTCTGATTTTGTCCTGATTCTCGATCATCTCCATCGTCATGGTTATTTATTGACCCGGATATAAAAACAGCTCAGTTCTTTATTTTTATTATGATTATTATTATTATTATTATCTGTGAATTCAGGTTGACATGAATGTAAATGAGACTCTTTTTGATTTGAATCTTTTGTTTTTAATTTAAGTGGATTGAAGATGAATAGTAATGTCACATAGTGTAATATATATGTCTTATTTAAGTCCAGTAAGAAAGCCGCCCCAGGCATTAAGACCATTAGAGTGAAGGATCACCTTATATATATATATATAAATACATATATATATATGTATCCAGTCAGAAAGTAGAACAGGGAATACACACACACACACACACACACACACACACTATGATGCCATATTTGGTGCTAGAAAAGGGAATTCACCATATCGAAGACGATGATGCAGACTGCAGTGAGACCTCGACTAGCAGGAAACCACTCTCTCTCTCTCTCTCTCTCTCTCTCTCTCTCTCTCTCTCTCTCTCTCTCTCGTTTTAGCAGCTACGATATTAACCTGAAACCTCCTCCTCTCATCATGCTAAGCGACCCGAGCTCATGCTGCAGAATAACCCTGCTGTTCCTGGTCTGGAGTCAAACGCCCTGTTAGTCGAGTCTCCCATGAACTGCTCCAGTCTGCGGTCTCCTCCTCCTCCTCACCTTAAAACGAACCGCAGACCCGATCCAGTCAGAGCACTTAAGACTCGCCACTTACTACTGAGAAATGCAAACATGGAGTCAGAGGAAACACTGAAACTTGACGAGGGAACATTTGTTGTCCGGGGGTCTGCTGCTAAATCTGCAAACCTCGCTTGTAGTTTTGCTATTTTCAGGCGGCGTGCATATCGCTAAGGGAGATAAACAGCCTCACTGATCTTCGCCCTTATCAAACATCCGTCCTCCCGCCCGCCCGTGAGTTAAAGGGCAGACCGGAGAGATTCAGAACATAGGTTTGTGCCTCGGGCAAACTGCAGGTCTCCCATGTTAACAGGTTCACTGCCCGCCGTAGACCCAGGAGGCTGCTGAAAATGTTTCTCTGGTTGTTGTTTTTTTTTTTTTCTTTTGTGTCGTGTTTTTGTTTTTTACTATCGGAGTACACTGAATATTTGTCTTAATGCACTGTGAAGCGAGTGAGCGGCTCTCTGGACCTGTGAGGTCAGGGATGTGTGCTGTAGTGACTGGACGGCTTTTGTATGGCAGGGATTATTAAACACACACACACACACAGACACACACACATCTATATAAATGAAATGAATGCATATGAAGAACTTCATCATATCTGAAAACTGAAGAGTAGGTCCATGAAGACGATCAGTCCTGGTCCTGTTGTCCTGATGGAGTGTCTCGTCATGAGAGGGTGGGATGTCGGGGAGTGTTAGGTGTCCAGAGTCAGATTAAAGAGACTGGAACAGAATCTAGATTCACTTTTCTATGTCAGCGGTGTCTTCTTCGTGTTCTGGATAAATCCTGGACACGAGTCTAACGAGTGTAACAGGAAGTAAAACGCCAGAAAGAAAGACAGAAAGAGGGGGGAGTGATTTGATTTAACTCCTCTGAGATTTTCCAAAACTTTAATCCGACCCCCCCCCCCCCCAAAATCCTCTGAAAGTGTCACTCTGTGTCGGAGCGCCAGTGAGGGTTTATCTCCACAGCTTGGTAAGGAGGCTTCTTTACTCCCATCTAACACCATCCACACTCTCCTCACCCTCCCCCCACCCGTCCTCCAGTGCACTCCCATCCTGACACCCCCTCCTCCTCCTCCTCCTCCTCCTCCTCCTCCTACCACATCGCTCCATGGGTGACTATGTCTGGTGTTCTGATCAATGCATGTCTGCTGCTTGCACCGACAAACGCCACAGACCGAGCGTCCGTCAGGAAAACCTGCAGAGGAGGTCGTAGCTGAGGCCGGCAGGGCGCCAACCGTCTCCGGAGTTTAGTGTGTGACTCGGAGGCTTGGACATGAAAACACACACACACACACACACACACACACACACACACACATATGTCTGAAGGGAAGGTTTGAGCTTTGCTGGAGTTGAACTGGACTCTTCTTTATCTCACGGATCTCAGTGACGCCGCAGGAAGGGAGCGAGATTTAGTCCAGGTGTGCTGATGTACTGTGCTGCGGTGTTGGCGAGCAGGTGAATTCGTCTTCGGTTGTCATGGAGACGCTTTGATTTTGTTTTTTTGACTGTTTGTCTTTACCAATAATCAATCACAGAATCAAAGTGATTGACTCAAAAGTAAACATTAAAGGTGCAGTCTGCGTTTTTTTGGTGGAAATGGAAAATAAATCCAAGAAACTGTTTAAATGATTGATGACAGTTTTGTATCTCAGAATTTGTCGTTTATATCTACGCCGCCGTCCGGCAACACGATGTTCCTACGGTAGCCTAGAAAGGACAAACTAGTTACATACATGTTTTTGTATTTAGTGGCTTAAAGAGAGTTGTTGAATCAACAGGAGCTTTTTGTCCTCGAAGGCCACCGTTGCTCTGCTGGCGAGGGAGCGTCTCAGTTTAAAATCAGACACTGTACCTTTAAATCTTTGTGGCGTTGTCCTCCACCTGTCGTCCGCTGCAGCACAGTTCATCTAAAGGTCAAAACGGCGTTGATGGATACAGGCTGGATTTCTTCCTCTCATTAGTTAACCCCTGATGGTTTCTTCTTCTTCTTCTTTAGTTTTTTTTTTGTAGTCCTCTTCCTGTTAGGGGGTCGAGATAAAATGTGACGAGTACTGGAAGCAATACACGTAGTGGCATGTCACCTTGTCCTGTCCTTTCTCCTCTGCTTTTGGATTGACCTGTAGACGTCCGATAGGTTTACACCAGTCGAGTTTTTTCATTGTGTGGAAAATTGCTGCTATTTAATAATAAGTGATGTTCTAAATCGACAAGGTTCAAACATATCGAAATCTGTCCTGTGGCAGTGAAGTACAGACTCTGTTATAAGCTGACGACGACGATGAAGTTAATAATAATAATAATAATAATAGTGTAATTCTAACCTGAACAAGTTCAACCTGTGCCAAAATAGCTCTTTAAATGTGCTGGTTTTAACCACCGTAGATAAGAGGAGACCTAGTTTTATATATGAAGAAGAAGAAAATGTGAAAAGTGCCAAATGACGCGTATTTATAAGGAGGCGGTCCGAAAATCCTCGTCGACTGACGGTCTCAGCGCAGCAGTTTGTTTCAGCCCTCTCTGTTCCCGCCACACGAGGACAGACCGCCATGTTAGCCAAGTGTTAGCCAGTCCTCTGGGAACTCCGCGTCCCAGAATGCAACAGCACTCTGACTCTGGGGCTAGACGAATCGAGAAAAAGCGATAGGTTAGCATCGAAATGCTGAGAAATGTGACTTGATAGCGTTCTTACATACAGCCTTTTATAGTTAGACTGAAAATGTATTTTGTGGAAATAGATGTTATCTTTTTTGCACGTCTATATTGCATGATATCAAAGTGAAGCGTGAACAAAAAAAAAACAAAGAAAAAGCAAAGAAACAAAATAGAAGAGACAAAAAAAAATGGCCGTGTGTGTCGCTCATTTTTCAGACGAATCTCTGCATGCCGATAAAGTCGAGCATTTTGATATAGTTTCACACGCGCTCAGATGTTCGTTGTTTTTTCGATGAGTCCTGGTGAACAAACGTTTCTGACTCCACAGAGTATTTCGTCGTTGAGTTGACGAAACTCTCCGACAAACCGGAGACTATTTTGCTACACGCTGAGCGAGCTTGTACTAAAACACGTCTCAGTTGCTGCCTAACTTTAGAGAAAAAAAACAGAAATCAGGATTTTGAGATTGTCCATGAATGTACTCACCTCTGCATAAGTTTGCATATCACTCCTCTGACCATGACGTGCAGT